CTGCTCTACCACCTGAGCTATCGTGACCTCGATCCACTCTGACATCAACTCCCCATCTCAACCCCACCTTATGAGTTTTCCCTCCTTTTGCCATTTTTCAAATGGCGTGTAATCGGTTTGGATTCTCGACGACAATTGAAATGGCGACGGAGAGCTTTAGTGAAGTATACTTCATTTCAATTCATTAAATTCACTATTTTCGTGGTCCGCTTGACCAATTAATTGTAAACTGTAAAGTATTAATTGGTCAAGCGGACCACGAAAATAGTGAATTTAATAAATAGAGAATGTTAATTTAAGGCCCTTTCTCAGAGAAATACAGAATAAATTTTTTATCTTATGGCCTAATGAAATTATTCATGAACAGAGGTCCTGCCTTTGTAATAATGAATTTCTTATAATGTGGCAAGTAATTTATAAATAATCCTGTTAATAAAGCAAGAAATGTAAAGGATGAATTTTGTATTGAAAAACCAGGAATTTGATTTGAGAGAAAACAGCTCATTTTTTAAAGTTTTCAGGAGTTTAAAAACTTATTTATTTACAAGGTTAGCAAATATGAACATCCACACTGACGCCAAAAATATTTGGTCACAACCAAATTAATAGGCTTACCACCACAGATAAATCTTGCATTTTTTTAAAGTCAAATTTCAAGAACTGGAATCGAGAATCTTGCAGGTAATTAACCTTTATTACAACGTGTTTTCAAGATTGAAAATAAATTCAGCGTACTATACAAAATGTTATTTTGTAAAATTTTATCAACCCTAAGCAAAGAATTCCCGATTCCTCCTACTGAACATTGAAGTCTAATCGAGACATCACACCTATAAATTGAAAGAAGGAATTATAAATATCATAATTAATAATAAATAACTTTCTTTTTATTATTTCTTGAAAACATTTACATAGTTAACAGAGGGGGGTGGGAAAGCCTCACAGTTTGTAAAACCAGCGTACGTTTTAGCTATACTACTTTATAATATACTATAAATGGTAAAAACAATATCAACTTTCTTTTCTAACATTTATCACAGAACTTTTTGCAATAAATAAATAAATTTTGTCAACAAGGAAAATAAGTTTCTGTATTCACAATATGTACGCTCATCAAAACTATAAACAATAAAATAGCATAAAACTGAAAGTTGAATTAAAAATATGAAGAATAAAATTAAAAAAAAAAAAAAAATGAGAGACTATAATACAATACCTACAATTCTTTTTTAAAGTTAATGTGTTTTGTTTTGACTGGCGTCGTGACAAATCAAGGCAGATGCCACAAATTGCATTGTACATAAACATTACACCTAATTTACTATTATACTATCGTAAGCCATCTTTGGACATATTGTTAGGTTCAGACAATGATTTTTTACAGTTATTTGCATCTGATGCTGCTATAGGATGGGCCAAATTAGCTGATTGTTTACTGCCTGAAGTAGGCCCCACCGTCGTGCTGTGGGGTGATAAAGGACTGGGCGGATCCTTGCACTCGTCTTCGCTCCCTTTCTTTAACGCCCTGTAGATCGACTCATCCATTTCAATCGCCTCTTCCTTATCGATAAGTTCGATCAACTCATCGACCTGCTTCTTATTCAACTTCACCTTCTCATTTCCCACTAATTCCAACATCTGAAATGAACAAAATTTTCAGTACGAATGTAAAATTGATATTAAAATTTTAAATATACCTTGAGAAGAACATCTACTCGGACGATACCGTCTCTATCAGCATCCATTTTACTCAATACCTCCGTCAATCTTTCAAGACTAGACACCTGTACTCCTTGTATTTTTCTAATTGTTGCTATAAGGTCGTCAATCCGCAAAGACTCTTCTCTAAAAAGGTGATGTTAAATTCAGATCCAATAATCAGTTTTATAACTTCAAATTAAAATATACAATGTTAATAAAGTACGGCCTCAAAAACCATCGCAGTGTGTATGAATAATCCAAATCACAGGAATATTTACCAAAAAACATTATGCTTTTCTCACCAGTTTTTAGAGGCTAAAACGTGTTCCCTTGTCTATCTACATCCTCGGTCCCTACATGAACCCCCAGCCTGATTTATATATTCATTACGCATCAATTTCAATTTATATTTTACAATGAAAGAATGTAAATAAATGTAACGAGAAAAAATGTAGTATTTAAGAGTATATTTATTTGATTCAAAAAATCTTCATTACGCAATGGAAAACATAATAACCTAAAAGCAAAACAAATACTGACTACTGATTTATTTAGCTCAACTCTGCATAAATACAGAGTTGAAATTACTAAAACTGAGGACACTTGGCAGACAAGAGGTGAAAAAATCAGACAATAGAGCAGGGTAAAGAAAGGATTGGGAATGGCAGAGACAAAAGCTAGATGAAAGTACGATGTAGATGTAGATATAATGTTTCAGGGTATGGTATACTGCGCCCTTTAAGAGCTATTGTATCCCCTGTGCTCTGCCTAAAGCACATCGGTGAGTCCTATTTCATCAAGAAACTTGATTTATAGGCCCGGTTTCAGTGGTTGTAGGTCTTCGGTCACATTGTACATCCCAAAACACTTCCTCCTGCGGGCTAATGTAGCTCCGCAGTTTGTTAGTAAGTGTGTTGGTGTCTCTTCTGCTTCCTTGCAGATTTTACATGTGCCATCTTGGATTATTCCAATTTTCTTTAGATATCCATTTAATCTACAGTGTCCTGTCAGGAATCCTGTTAGGATTCACAGTCTATTCCTGCTTCCTTTGACACATTCTGTGATTTCTTTCTTGCCAAAATTGGTTAGAAGATTCTTGGATTGTCTATGTGCAATAAGTGAATTCCAAAGTTCGCTTATTTTCTTTTTGCCCTTCTGTCTGAGATATTCGTTAATAGTGTGGATTCCTATGCCACAGAAGGGTTTGGGTCCTGTCAGCGGTGTGGCAGCCCCTTTCCTTGCAAGGGTGTACGCTTTCTCGTTGCCTTCTACTCCCATGTGTCCTGGGACCCAACAGAGGCTGACTTTATTCCGCGTACCTAATATGTTTAGTTTGGTTTTGCAGTTCAGCACCATCCTTGAACTAATGGTATTTGAGCTTAGTGCTTTGATGGCTGCTTGGCTATCTGACATGATAGCTATATTCTTGTTTTTGTATCCTCTATTTAGATTGAATTGGATACATCTTTCAATTGCATGAATTTCAGCTTGGAAGATACTGGTGTGCTTTCCCATGGGTTCTGAGTATTTGGTTCCGGGTCCAAACACTCCTGCCCCCATACCTTCCTGTGTTCTAGATCCATCTGTGTACCAAAGGATGGTGCCATTTTTGAGGGAGTTATTTCCCTTTCTTTCCCATTCCTTTTTGGTGCCCAGATGTATTGGGAATTTTTGGTTAAATTCAAACCTCCTGTTGGAGCCATGAGTGAAAGATGGTTTTTCCACAGTTAAAGTAAAGGTCGATTTATATTAGAACATGACGGGCATCTTACGGGACATGTGGAGAACGAGTCCCGTAAGGCGTTTGTATTTACATTACACTGGGCTGCTTACCCGTACCAGCAGTGGTTGGGATCTTCCACTCAATTTTTCATCAGTTTTACTAGCGTTCACTTAGGGAGTGCTTTTTGTATGTGCGCGCGCACGATAATAACATGAACTTTAATACAGTTGAATTAGCAGCTATTGCTGTAGCTCTTGATGAGGAAGAAGGCAAAAAGACAAGAAGATGGGCTGTTCATCCAGCTTGGTAGAAAAGGGGATCAGAAGGTGAATTCGTTACCCTCTACAAGGAGTTGAACGATGACGAGGAAAAGTGTTATGGCTATTTTAGAATGACTCGTCAATGTTTTTCACTTCTGTTGACTACTGACGGAGGTGGAGTTCATACTATACAGGATGGGGCGACAACGTGATAGGAAGGGGAAAGAATCATAGGCTGCGGGCTGGCTCCGGGGCCGCTCTAATGTGAACCCTCCTACTTGAAAACAATGAGATAATATGTTGACGTGCCCCGTAAGACAGCCGTCCTGTACCCTGCACATTCTAATATAAATCTGCCTTAAGGACAGATATGGTCATTCAGATGGTATGAGATACATATTTTTTGTTTGGGATGTTCGGTCGCTTGATACTTTTTCTATATGAAGGTAACTGACGGGACATTGCGTGGCATGGTTTCATTCACATAACACATCCTGTATCGAACAGATCGCTCATCCTGACTTGTTTCACATGCCTTCTTTTAATCTTTTAAAAATGGATAAAAGTGACATTTTTGATAACGAGAAACTAATTTCATTAGTTCAAACGTATACCACGCTTGGTAACCGAGCCAGATACAGAGACCATGATTATGCAGATAAAGTTAAAAAAAGAAAATGCATGGCGAAATATGGGGGAACCCACATTACTCTACTTTTACTTATTTTTTGCCTAATTAAATGCCAAAGAGCTACACCTTCTAACTTGTCCATTATAAAAAATGACAGAATCAAACATCTAGATCTTTAAACCACTTGGAAGAGGTGAGGCACTCGAGAAGAGATGACGGGGAGACAACTGAATCTAGTCGCCAGGAGAGTCACCTGGATACTTTTTGTACCTCATACCACTATCGCATACAGTCATACAGACTGACTCTGTGTGAACTGGGCCTAATGGTTTTACAGAAAGCAGGAGTCACAATTTTGTAAAAGTTTGAGAGAGAGAGAGACCAAATTGTGAACAGATAGGGGGGAAAAAGAGTGATTCATTTATGATGAGGGTGTGAAAAGATGGTGTGGGAGTTCAACGTTAACTACCAAGATGTTTGCTACACATTAGATACAACCTAAGTCTAATAGATGATGCAAGTGTCTAGCTAGGGTTCCTAAAAGACAAAAACGTGATAAGGTCTCTGGGACCAGGGAATGTGCAGCCTGAATGAGATGTCTCGTCCCGAAAAGGTTAAATCTTGTAAAATAAATGTATGGTGTTCTAACATTTTCTTAGGACTCGGTGTCTTCTCCTCGGCTTCCAATGACATAGTAACAGATTCTTCTTCGGATTTCAATTTCTGTTCCTTTTTCTCAAGGGTATGCAATACCGCTTCCATTTTGCTGATCATCTTGTTCACCTTCCTGAAGAGGCGTTTGGCCGCAACTGTCTCTTGCAGATCAGACTCTTTGCCACTCGCCATCGTTATTTTCTGAAGGTCAGCTATGTCCTAAAAAATACAATAATCAATGTTGTCGTTTTTCTTATATCAGAGTTTCGTACCTCTTGGTACTCGGCCATTTCAGCCCGAAGCTCTTGAAGTTCTTCCTTCTCAACTAACAATTTCTTCCTGTCTTTACCTAGTGTTTCGAGCGCGTTTTCTAAAGCTTCCATATCCTTGTTTGTAACATCCTACAAAAACATTATAATTATGTTTATAATTAAGAAACAGTTTGATAAAAAATAATAAAAATTGGTATAATTATATTTATTTTATGGTTTTAAATATTTAAGCATCGTTACTTCATTCAATAATTTTTCACGGATCGCTGTTTTCTTAATGTCATCTACAACAGCTCTAAGTACAGGATCAACGAGTTTAGCTTTATCCATCAATGTAGGTGCAGAATCCACCATAACCTCTTCTTTCTTTTGCTCCAATTCCTACAAAATAAAAAGAATAAGTTAAATTACAAAAAAAAGTTAATTTTTATTTTAAAAAACAAAAACCTTTGCTTGTTGTTTAAGGTCTTCCTCTTGCTGTTCTTTCCTTTCTTCTCTGATCATATTGCATTCCTCCTTGATAATTTCAATCTTTGTTTTGTAGTCTACCTTGCCTTCACGTTCACCGATTACGGCTTTAGTCGCCGTGCCGACTACGTCAGGTAAAGCTTGTATTGTCGCTGCCAGTTTCTCTTCGGTCGGTGTTGAATCAGGAAGCATGAATGCCTGGAATTTATACAGTTTGAATCGATCCGGGATTTTTATAAATACGAGTCTACCTGAGATAGAAGAAGAAGAGAAGGGGGAACTTTTTTAGTCAGGGAAAGGTCCAGCCACTGGCTAAGCTGAGCTTTTAATCTTTCCTCAGAAACGCCCAATGCTTTCATGCCTCTTGCTCTACAAGCGGCTTGCAATTCAGATTGTGTCAAAGAATTAACTCCTTCTTTTTGAATCATCTAAAAGAAAAAATTAAAGTATTTATCTTTCACTTAAATGATAATTATAAGCTCAATTACCATATCGTCAGCAACTAAACTTCTGAGTTTTAACCTAAGTTGAAATCTGAGAAAGTTTGTCGTGCCGATAGGGTTCATGTCCAGTACTCTACACAGCGCCATAAGCTGAGGCCTTGGCAAATTGTCTAATGTGATTTCATCTTCAAACAATTTTGAAAACTTCATTATTTCTTCTGAAGTTGTCATTTCTCCGGAAGTCCTGACCTGGAAGAAATTGATATTGTCTTGGAAAAAAAGTTAACAACAGATGCATGGTAAAGAAAAGTGACTTTTTCACACCTTTTCAAAAAATTGTGCAAATTCCTTTGCAGCCTGAGAGGAATGTCCTTTACTCGACACAGCCATGTCATCGAGCGTTCGTTGAAGGAACTTGGCCATCTCTAGTTTAACTTTCAGAGATCTTTTGATCTTGTCTTCCTGTATATATCAGAATATAATTATATTTTAGATATTTAATACTTCTAATTCGACTCACCTTCTCACTCGCCGACTGGAAATGGGATGGTAACATCCCAGGGAAAAACTTGATAAAAATTGGGAGAGTGAACTCAAGGAAAGGCACCACGATAAATAATGAAAATGGCACCATACGAAATAAATCACCCACTGTGCGCACCAACTAAAAATAAATCAAATAAACGTAAATAACAGAATATTTCCATTGAAATTTATCTTTTGAAATTTGAACATAATAGTCTCACATTATTGTACCTTTTTTCACAACTTCTTACATTTTTAATAAAGTGCTGGATAGTAAGAATAACTGTAAATTTTAACCATCGTAATGACACAATGGAAAATCATGGACAACGTATATTAACAAGAAGTTATTAACCCAAGTCAAAGAAGAAAAAAAATTCTCAACTTTTCTAAATTTCTATTTAAATAATTTCCTACTTCTGCTACTACTTCTTCCAATGTAATGCTACTGTTATTGATATAATATTAATTTTAAACTCAATTGAATAATTTTGCTTATAATTCTCCCATTTTGAGCATGAAATTCTGGTAATATAGTGGCGTTATTGGAGAAGAAAATTTTAGGCTGTCAAAACCACATGTTTGATCAGCTAAATTGGAGGAAAAATCGAAAAGGGAGATGGGATATCTAAAGGTCAGCTGTATGCAGTGAACCTATTGAGGCAGATCTGGGTTCGCTAAGTACTAGGTTCATACTTTGTTATGTACTGCCTCAGGAAGTGAGTGTGGATGAGTAAAAGTTCCAAAGATTTTATACAATGTCAAAGTTTTTGAACAACTGCTCGAATTGGTTGGCCCCACATACTGAAAATGGGTACAAATTATACATTAGCTGTATAACCAGAGGAAAACTAAACATAATATTGAGGTATGGTTGACAAGGGCAGAGGGGGGAGTTTTTGAAACCGTTGTTTCAAACTCGAGCGTGCATATCTATGGGTATTTCAATAAATCAATCGGTTTCATGAAATTTGAGTTTCAAGTTTCTTTGATGAATACCCTGCCTTAGGATCAGTTAAAAAGCTTTAGCTTAACGAAACGCTCTAGACAATCATGGCAATTGCCCAACTGACTAATATTGGTAACGGTGCACAAGGTTGTAAAGACTCATTTTGACCTTTAACCCATTGCAAACTACCCTACAGAAGCCAATAGCGATGCTGATCATGGGCAATGCTATTGCTATCATGTTACTGGAAGCTCGTGGCTTTACCACAGAAGACTCCGCTCTTTCTCATCCAGATGGCACTTTAGGACAAAAACTTTTGCTAAGAGTCAGTAACTTAATGCAAACCGGAAAAGATATCCCCATTGTAACTAAGTATGCAATCTTACAGCAAGCATTAGTAGACCTTGCTCATTCAGACTCTTCCGAGCAATAGCTTCTTTAAGGAAAGAACCAATGAGCATTTTAGCTATATAGTTATGTGTTTAATTGAAGTTCTTTAACCATTAATTAGTTTATTTTTGGTTAAGCATTTCCGAACTCAAGTGCCAGCCCCCTCATCAGACATTTTAGAGTTTAAACCTTATTCATGATTTCAATTAATTATTCTTTTTATGTAAGGTTTTGATTGAAATTAAAAAACCTTACATAAAAACATTAATTAATTGAAAGAAGTAATTTGGTCAATAGACCACTAAATATAATGGACTTATTTTAACTATTTATTTCCATGATGGACAATAATTAGTCGAAAGTGTAAAATTAATTTAATTTAAACTCTTGAATTTGTATTGACTCACCCTAATATCATTTTAAATTAAAATTACAAGTGAAGGTGATAGATAAATACGTTAATCAATGATAAGAATGTTGGTCATAAAGATGGATATCTTCAACTGGACATCAAATGAAAACTTTTATCAATATCAAATCGCCTAATAGCAAGGATGAGATTATATTACACCACTTCAGATAATTCCTTTGATTTACTATTATCAATGTTATGTAAATTAAATAGTTTATTTTTTAGTAAATCAGATAATATCCACTTAATGCCTTCTTAACAAAAAAAAGAAGACCATTTGCCGTTAAACCAGTTTTGAAAATTTGCCCAGCATTTATTTAAATATTAATACTTTATGTATCACTATATACATTCCAACGTATAAACTCTAACAATGTTCTTCGCCTATTTCAAAATAATTTTATGATATATGCCTCATAATAGTAATCATGACATTGCTATGTTACAGCAATGTAGTAGAATGTTAATATATTTACAAAAAAAAAAATTTCTTTTATTTATTGTACAATTTATTTATTTTGGAAAGCCAAAGTTTAAATTTGTCACCTCGATCACACTGATATAAATTTTTGTATCATGCCAAGTAATTTACTAAAAGATATTATTTATTTAAAGCCTTTTATATTTTTCTTTGCCTAGCGATAGAGAAATTTTGACTTCCAAAAATTAAACACTAACTTTAAAAATGTCATGAGCATAATTTTTTATATTTATTTTGCTCATTGTGTGAAGACTGAATAAGATATCAGTGTGAAGGAGTGTTACCACTGGGCAACTTCTCCTAGAAGAGCCTCAAATGATAATTCAACATATACGAACATATTTACTTAATACATCACTTATAGGTGTAAATACCAAATAAATGTAATTTAAAAAAAAAATATTTTGAACCATGTGATGTCCATTTAGTACATTCATATCATAATTTTACTAATTTAATTAAAAAACTAATTGCTTATTCATTTTATTTATTCTGTTTAAGATCATGTGTTAAATATCAAAACAATATATAAACTCAAATTTATTTATAAAAAATCTATTAGTGTTAGTTCTATTTTAACAATATTTCATCATGTCCTGTTATAGTATATTAATTATTGTCACTCTAAACAATATTCTAATGATATAACTATATAACTATGTGACAAATTATTTGGCCAAATCTTGTTTAATATACTTCAGTAAAAGCTTTAACAAGAGTATCAGTTTGAAAAAAAGAGTATAAGCAACAAAATGAAATATGTTGCAATAGAAAAATCAGTGTGGCAATGTGTTGTAATATTAATTTTTTTAGTTTACATAATTTTTGTGGTCAGGTTGTCGGGCGTATATACACATATTAGCCTCATTAGTACCAAGAAAGGTTCCATTATTGCCACTTCGCAGACTTTTCTTTTGAGAATTTGAATGCTTAAAAATAAAAAAAAAATTGTAAAGCTCTCTCAACCACGAAGAAGACACCTTTTTTTTATTATTTAAATATAACACTTATTTTAAAAACTTAAAACAAGGGGTTGTGAATAAAAACAGAGAAGAAGCTTAACAACAAAGATGCATTTGTGATGTTATGTCGAAAGCAAAATTCTTGTTTATGAAAGGTTAAAAAATTTTGTTGATGTTATCCAGTCTGGGGCTGTGCCAGCAAGACCAGATTTAAAATAGCGTACTGTGAAAAATAGTCATTGCATCCTGGTACGAGAGAAATAAAGATTTCCTATGCTATTTCAAGCTAGATACATTAGAGGAAACTGACTACAAATTTGCTTTAGTCAATCAACTGATGATTAAAGGCCGTGGCTATCCACTTGCTTGATGTTGATCGCACAATCAGGATCTCAAACACTTTAAGCCATATAAGTTTATATATTTGATATATTGACAGAAAAATATTACTTGGCTATGTTTAAGCTATACTGTTACTAAAAATAAATCAATGAAAAAAATAAAATAAAGCATGAAATAAAATTCATACTTTTGGCGTCATTTTGTATAACCATTTAGATGCTGATCCATGCAAAACTAGTCAAAGAACAAGAACAGAATATGACTAATGTGTACTCCCAAATTTTACAAGTGGCAAATAAGAAGAAAAAAATGTACTGGTGTGAACAGATTCAGGCATATACGAGGGTGCCCTCGGCAAGATTGAGCAAGGCCGGCAACTCAGCAGTGACATCGGCAAGGATGGGGCCCGGCTGGTGAGGACAGGTAAGGCTTAAACTTATGATCCCCCATGGCTCAGAGTGAACGAGTCAGAGAAAAAAAGTGAAAAAGGACTTTAGTTTTGAAATAAATTTTTTATTTTATTATTATTTTTTTTTTTTGGAGGGGACTTTCTTTTCTTATCATCTGGAATAGAGAGTTTGCAGGGAAGTTCAATGTGTACAAGAGGAAAAATGCCCTGGAACCAGAAGAAAAAGGTCTGGGAGGAGGTTCAGACTTAATTTATGGTTTATTTGATGTGAATTTGTTTTCTGATCATTTTTATTACTGTAGAAGATACTTGTTTTGTTTGTTTTTTAAACCTTTTTCCACATAAAGAGGACATTATTATTTAATTTTTATTGTTGTGGGTTTTTTTTTATTACTACTCCAATGGATTCATTATTTCCCGAAGAACAAAAAAAACAGTTTTTTTGAGAGAGAGAAAACAGCCACAGGAAAAATTTCCATTAAGCCCCAGGCACATGGACACCAGGTTGATTGTTGTCAGAAGAGGAACCTGTCACCCACCGTTTGTGAACATATAACACAGCCCCACCGCTAAGATGACAAGAAGCTGAAATGCCTCTGACAAACCAAAACATCCACACTGGGCAGAGCAAAATGATCAGAAATGACATGTTCATCACCCTGCAGACCAAACGAAGAAATCTTCGCACAGAGCCTATGAAATTCCTGCTTAGTCAGGTGAAGAGCCAATGTAACCTGGACTTTCACAAATTTATTAAAAAACTTGCTAAACTGGAACACTATAAATAATACACACCTATAAATGAATCACATGGATCAACTTTGAATATGGTGGGACACTAAAACACATTCTGACAGATCAAAACCAAATGATTGGTTCGACCAAAGTACAGATTCATTACTCCACAACCAAAGAAGAAATCTCATATTCACTGATGGGTCTGGGTGATTCCTATTTAACCTAATCCCTGATTATTATTTTGTGAAATCCACATTATATTTCTACTTCATATCCCTTTGACAAGATCAAAACAAACTAACAGGATAGCAAACAATTAAAAACTAGCCTGATAAACTAAGAAAAAAAGTGTGGTAGTCACAATTGTTAGGATGTTGACATGGCAACTCATCACTGGGGGGCAAAGGTTTGAAGTCAGGGCCAGTGGATTAAACTCCAATGTACAATATAAATATAAATGGGCTTATTTGAAAAAACACCGGCGCTCCAAGGGTCACGCTCTTCAAAGTATAATTTTTTCTTGATATGAAAGAGAAAAAAAACTATCAAGCTGTAAGCTAAAATGCAGCTGACAGACAAAAACCAACTAACTACATGTTCATACCTTGCATACCACAAGAAGCAATCTTCGCTTTGTGTCTATGCAATCCTGTTTAGTCGGGTTTTCTTTAAATCCAGGAATACACAAATAAACAAATGGATACATGAATTATACAGGAGCCAGCCTCTTTACGACCTATGCACTACGACCAATACTGGGTTTATTGTGCATCTCCATTATTTATTTTTATTTTTTTTTTAATTCTAGAGCTCCCTCGTAAGCTTGAGGTTTTTCAACTGAAACACATTTGACAGACCAAAGTGATCGAAAAAGCCTAAACTACAGGTTCATCACCTCACTCCCTTTTATAAGTGTGTAATTTACGAATTTGTCACATGGCTAATATGCATAGTTCATAACGCCAAAAAAAAAAAAAAAAAAAAAAAAAAAAAAAAAAAAAAAAAAAAAAAAAAACAGTATTAGACACAGTGTACAGGCCGTAAAGAGGTTGGCTCCTATATAATAATTATTTAGAGATTGTGACATGCAGTCTGGTGTGATGTAGATGAAACATTTTCCTTATTGTGCCAACGTTTCAATCTTTTTTGACATCATCTTCAGGGCAAAGAATGAGTTAATTTAGAAAAACACATTTTTCATTTTTAGGTGACTTTTCAACCTTTATTCGGGCCACCTTCAGGGCATTTTAGTAAGAAAATCCATTGATTTGTAGCAGCTGCTAGTTTCTTCTGGTTTCTTGCTAAGTTTTCGAGTGTGACAGTGGTTTGATGTTCACATTTGATGGTAGTTTGTAAAAACCCATGTTAGTTTTGTCATTCCTCTCGGGTAGAAATGTGTGTTTCTCAGTGACCTGTTGTTTCATAATTCGTCCAAGTCGTGAGGAGCGGTCATGAATTGTGAAACAACAAGCCACTAAGAAATACATACACATTGTTTAAATTATACAAATACATATAAGATATTACTATGTATAATTTAAACAATATTTATAAATCTGAGGTGCCCTGAAGATGATCTCAATAAAGACTGAAATGTTGTCAGAAAAGAAATGTTTTTCTAAACCTACGTCACACCAGACCGCATCTCACTATCTCGAAATAACCCATTTATAAGTTTATAAAAACAAAATACAATAGCATAAACTAACCCGATAACAAGAGAATTAATACAAATCAATTACTAAAGATGGTGAGATGCAAAAATCTGCAGACCAAAATGGCGGAACATGACTAAACCACAAGTATGCATATTTAGTTCGTACAATTTTCAGTAATCACTATCAAACATTGAATATTGGAAAGCGGGCAACTTTATAAAATGGCTAAATGTGGGATGAATAAACGCAGAATGGTTCCTCACTGAAGATGGCGCAATGTCAAGATGCATTTTGAGACAGGCCAAGCACATTGCTGATTCAACGTGTATTCACCTCCCAATACCAACGGAACCGATGTCCGAGTTAAAGTTATTAACTTTTTAAATCCATTATATTTGAACAAATGGCAAAAAGGAGGTAAAATTTGAAAGGTTGTAGGTTGAGATGGGGAGTCTGTGTCCGAGGGGACTAAAGTCACGAGCTCAAGTGGTTATAGCTGCGGTGTATTTAGCCAAAGGTCATGGGTTCAAATCCTGCTCGTGGCACTAACTTTTTCATTTCAACCAAAACTTTACACAAAAAAATTAGTTAATTCACTTTTTTAAAGTTAATACAGGCAAAACTTTTTATATCTTTATACTGAGACAAAGATTGGATGCAATAAATCAATTGCGATTGGAACAAGCATCATCTAAGAGTGAAGCGTTCAAGCATGTATATGGATTGCTGCCAGTTTTATTAAATTATCATCATACTGTTACCAGGTTATATTGAAGGTAAAGTACCCACTGGTGTTTTTTTTTTGTGCCTGATACCAATATCAACGCTCAATGATAAAATACCTATATCATCGTAGTGATGCTATTTGAGTGTAAATGATTATCTTCTTATAGCTAAATAAGAATCTCCATATTGTGCAATACGGTTTAAAATGAAAAACTTACAAGTTTGTGTTCCCTTCTCGTGAGCTGGTTTCCGATGAGCAGACTCCAGAGGAGCTTCCGCGAGATGTTGATATCGATGAAGAGCAGGCGAAAGCCGTGGTAGTAGTGTAGGATTTCATCTTTGATGCGCTGCTTCAGAGGTTTCTTGGGCGGTTTGGCGACCGCCTTGCTCTTGCTGTCAGCGGCGACCGGGAGCTCCTTCGCCTTCTCCTTGAGCGCAGTCACCGTCTCCTCGACCTTCGACGACGGCTTGAGCGGCTCGCTGCTGTAGAGCCTCACGCCGACGACGACCGGGCTCCATCTCTGCGCCGGCCGCCTGCGGACGTCCTCCCAGTCGGAATACTGCGAGACGCAGATACAGCGTCTGTGAAACCTCCTTAGTCTCACACCTTAAATAATAACACGTTTTAATATCGGAACCTTGGCCAGACAGCGATTCGGACAGAATCTAATTTATAAAAAGGTCAGTTTCCCTTTTTTACCTCTCTCTATCAGCTTGCCATTGACGATCAAATTGTTTTTCAACAGCGCGTACATCGTTTATTCTCTGTCGTCTCACTTCCACCGTCGAGATCACGTCTCTCGTGTTATCTCCAGTCTCGCCATTTGCCGATCTCGACAAGTGCTGCCTTGAGATCGTTTTTTTGCCGATGCCAACAAAACACTGATTATTCCCTGTTTTTCAAACAAATTCTTCCAACCTACTTAAAGTTTTCTATTTATCATTAACATTTATAACCCTCCGTATGTTTTAATTTCTATAGGAGCTGGTAAGGTAGGCGAACGGATCAACCTATACATAAATGAAAAAAAGGTATTTTAGGGGAAATTTTTAAGGGTGTACATTTAAACGTGAAGTGACGTCATTTGTTTTCGGACAGATAGGAAAATAACTTCCTTATTATTGGTGCGGATAAGTCAGCCTTACCTTATATTTTCTAATAAAAAGGGTTTTTCCCCTGAAATAATCGCCTATTCGCGACGACCCTCAAGTGCCCAGGCTCGCGTTTTCACCCGTACCAGTCCGACAACTCGCGAAAATCGTGTAAAATTGTGGAAAATTCCGACTTTTTTTCGATTCCCCCCCCTCGGGACGACTTGTTTTTATCCCTCCCCCCACGGGCTCCGTACGGACTCGGATTTAAACGATGTTTCTTATCGATTCGGGTCAAATACTGGGATCCAGCGTCCGAAAATCTAGGCTCTGGCCTTTTTAAAACAAATCGAAAAATATTCAAGAAAGGAAAAGCCGTCGGGCAGTGTCAACACCCGTACGAGTCGTTATCGATAAAAGGAGAAGCCCTCGTCCACGTGAGTCGACAAAAGTGCTCTTTTCCAATGGAATTCAGTTCAAACCCCCTGCCAGACGATAACGTGTAAAATAAATACTATTCGTTATTTTTCTTCAAAAGAAAAGTGATTTGTGATCAGATACAGAGTGGTGGTTTCAGTATAAGCATCTTTTTTTTTACTAGGTAAGTCATATTATTGAACCTTTTCCTCTATACATAAATAAAATAAAAGGAAGTTGCGACATAAGACAACAGTCAAAAAAATGTATCAAGTAAACAAGTTATTTACATAAATGCACATAAATTTGAACGCGTATCGATAATACTGATCTCTTTTGGAAATAAATACAGTAAACATGGTGAAAAATGCATTTAATTTTCAAGGTAAGTGAATCTCAAGGTCGTTGTTGTTTACCAGAGGTTCAAGGACTCGACGTTATTTTCGCTTTTTTTTCTTTCCCCTTTTCTTTTTTTTCGCATTGTTTTCTAATGCAATCAATGGTGGAAAATCTTGTCGGGTTTTCCCTCGGATCGATTTTATCCAACGTGCTCTAGACCGTCATGAGTTGACTCTTTTTTTTTATATCGTTCTGACCTAAATTTCCTTGGCAGTCAGCTGCTATTTTCGCAACATAAACAAAAACAAGCCTTTACGTCGGTTCTTGCGTGTGATTTTTTTTCTTTTTTTTGTTTTCCAGCCACACATAGTTGAATAATATTTTCTTATACGGACGCGCGGATTTGTTTACGCCCCTTTGTTTTGTTTATTGGTTACTCAAAGAAAGTATCGAACCGTGGTTAAAATCTGAAATACGGGCACGTTGCCGATGACAGCCGTACACGGATTTAATCGACAGATTATTCAATTACAAACCGGATTAACGTTAATTTATGTTTTTTATTACTTTAAACTATTTATATTTTTACTAATTTTACCCTCTGAAGTATTAAAAACAACAAAAGTCAAGTCGTATCATTTTAAAATTATATTTGGAACCCTTTAATGACCGTAATAACCTTTAAATCTGTTATCAGTAAATCCTTTGTACTATCATTAAAATGAACCAATTCAATTTAATTGTTTAAATTTATCTATGAAGGTTGTTTATGTAAAAAACGAAAACAATATTTATTATAAATGTAAATTACAAAACAATCTTGAATCAAATCTTTGTATAAAATTTTTAAAAAATCTCATTGGGAATTGTCAATATTATTTTTAATCATCAAAACTGACATTGAGGAAATAATTAAATGTAATTGAGATAGATTACATATAATTGAGATATACTGCTGTATTTGTTCTGATTAAGCATTGGCATTTTCGTTTCTCCCTTGTCATTAGTTCTACTCTACATTGTCGAGAAAAAGTGATAATTTAAAAGGTCAGTTTGTCTAAATGTATAAACAAATTTAATATCTTCTTAATGACAAAAGATTATATTTATTACAAATATTTTTTCTGTGTAGCTTGGTCGTTCCTTTCATTATGGTTTACTGGGACATATGTGCTTTTAACCTTTTCGCATTTTACAAACTTAAAAAACCAAATGAAGTAAGATTCTATCATTCAGGGTGTGTAATATACTGCGCCCTTTGAGTAATTAGTAAGTAGTAAGTAATATTTATTGCGCTGGTCTGTACTATAAGGCATAGTGGCGAGTCCTAGTTCATGAAGAGACTTGATTGTTGCCCGGTTTCAGTGGCTAAATTTCTTCTATGGTTGCACTGTACATCCCGTAACACTTTCTACTGTGGGCAAATGTGGCATATAGTTTGTTGGTATCTTCTCTGCTTCTTTGGATAATCTGCACATGCTGTGTTGTGTTATACCAATCTTCTTTTTCTTCCTGTTCTGCCGCTTGAAGGTACAGAGCCCTTCATCTGTGTGAGGGTTGATTTTCCAGGTAACAGCTGCTTCGTGGCTTGAGCTTGAGGAGATAGTCTTCCTTCTTTTTCTTCTATGGAGCGAATCTGCAAATATGCATTAATTTAATACTTACTTTTATTAATTGTAATACTATTAATTGGAACGAGTAAGTATCTGGAAACCTCCAGATTCACTCCATCATCAGAGCTGTGCTTAATGGAATAACTACTCTCTGAGGTCGCCCGGTATCAGAGAGGCTCCGTTCAAGTCATTCTTTAACAAGGTAACGACAAGTGTTTCCCAGGGTTCACTGCTAGGAAGCAGGGTTTGTTTTTTTAAACCCTAACCTAATGAAACATGTCTTGACAATCCAAAACTAGGATAGGCAGACCAAAAAGTGGTTAGAAATGAAGTCATCATCTCGCAGATTTTAAATGAATTAAAGAAATATCACACTTCAACATGCTTTTACAGCTGTCTTGGAATATGTAGGTCGATTCCAATAAACCTGGTCTTTCTAGTTGTCAAATTATGGAATGTCAGCATCTTAGGTTGTGCGCTTGACAAGAACACGGAAATTTTCACTGACGATGGAGAAATGGTGGAATGCATATGGCAGGCCAGAACAGCAAGATTATACAGATTGAAATGACAATAATAGCCAAATTTCAAAATAGTTTTGATAACTGTGAATCGTAATCAGAAATGGTTTTTCGGCTATATAAGTTGGCGAAAAGCTCAGTAGACAAAACTTGTAGGATAAACAGGCTAAAAATATATAAAATGCTACCCACTTTATTTAGGAATTTTAAATATTGTTTATTTAAACTTACTGGAACGTAACAACCTCCAGACGTGACCACCGTGTTCGGCCCTTTGGTGCTAAAAATGTAATAAAGAAAAGAATGTGGCAGCGTCGGTGGGCCGGATCAGCTGAGAAGCTCTCACGTATCAAGAGCAGTGTCGATAGATTGGCTCTCGTAGGATAAGACTCATAGTACAGGGATCATCCACACTCGATTAAGAATAGGCCTTGCGTGGTTGACCCACAGACAAAGCTATGTGTCCAGCATGGAGAGAAAGGTTGCTCGATGTGTCCCACTTAATTAAACGGAGCCATTCTAAGAACTAGCTTCATAGGAATGCCACCCAGTATGAAAAAGTGCTTGAGTATGAAAATGAGTTTTTGGATCTTCTGTTCTAATTCTCGGAGGAAACAGGATTTATTGTATATAGTACTGATAGTCTTGTATCCACTAATGAGTGTTAAAGGTGATTGTATTTATTGGTGTGAATGTGAATATGGCAGGGCCAATTGAGTACCCCCATCTACCCTCAATTAGGGTAATTGTATGTGTGTAAAGGGTGATAGAGGAATGTCGAGTACTCCACCTCTCTAACTGAGTAAATGGTATGTAAATAGGAAAGCATGTACTTGAGAGTGAGTGTTAGGGTGACTGATTATGTTGGAAGCTGAAATGATCTAGATGTTGATATCCCCTAGAACTCAACCTCAGCAGCTTAACGGATAAGATCCAGGCTGCCAATACCCGGGGTAGATGATTCTTGAGTCCCATCGGTGTATTGTAAATTACAAAAGCTTGAATTGCTGGTGGACTTTGAGAAGTGATCAGTAAAGGGAGTGCAAAGTTGAGCTTATATAAATCAGTAAATTAAAAGTTTGCTAATGAAAATTTAAAATTATCTTATTAATTTTTATTTTTATTTTTTTTCCAGAATGATATAAACACAGATGTTGCCAGTAAGCGGTAACTGGAACGTGAATCGAATCCGATTGAACGAAACCGACAAAATAATGTCAGATCCGATGTACTCAGGCGATTTGTTTCTTGACGGTCTAACGATCAAGTCGGAGCCGATGTCCATCGACACCCTGGTCTGCCCAACGAACACTTCAGCGAGTGTTCCCATTCCGTCGAGGCGGATGGTTGATTTTACTGATTTGAGAGATGGCTTTGATTTCAATGAGATATCACCTTGTAGCAGCTCTCTGCAAGACACGAATCTAACCGGCTCCAGCCTTTATTCAACATCGGTCTGGAGCCCGAAATCAGATGTGAAAATGGAAGACGATGATATTTTTCAGGTAATTGTTTCTAAAATCTAAGTTAGTTTTTATAATAATCCATACTTGCTTAGTGGTAAAAATTAACCATATTAATTGTTCGAATTAATTATTCTTTTTATCTAAGGTTTTTGGTTAAGATGAAAAACTGTGTCAGGATTGGGATTCGAATCCACGACCTTCAGCTCAATACGATGTTTCTCAAACCATTCTTGGTCATGATAGCTCAAGTGGATGGAGCAGCGGATTGAGCCAAAGGTCATGGGTTTGAATCCCGCTCATGACACTATTTTTTCATCTCAACCAAAAACCTTAGATAAAAAGAATAATTAATTTTATAATAATGTTTATTGACATGTTGACTCTTGGATCATGTTGGAAGGTGAGATCCTTTAGACGTGTCTTAGAACGTAACGTGTGTTAGAAGTGTCTAAATTTTATTTAATTTTCTCCCCCTCTGCCATTTATGTTAGAAGATTTTAGTTTTTCTTTTTTACTTTTTTAAGTTATAGTCACACAACGGAACAATGGTTAAGGTATAGAAAAAGGTTTTCTAAGAAAATCTTATCATAAGAGAAAGATTGGAAATTGACATTGAAATCACCGGATATAATTCTATTTAAATAAAAAGAGATACTTGTATAGGGTAAATTTGAAAACTGAGTAGAATAGAACATTAGGACGGCTATTTACAGCATATACATTTTTATTTAGATATTTTTTCTCTTTCTGTGATAAATATTTAAATTCTCTTATTTTTTAACTATTAATTATGAATAATAGTTAAAGAGTTCTCAAGAATCCTAGAGTTTTACCATAAATCATTGCTTTCATCTACCTTGTATAAATTTGATTTGGTGCATAACCTATTCAGGGTAAATTTAAATTCAATTTGCAGCAGATATATAAATAGTTTCTAAGTAAAAGTTATCAAATAAATCAAATTTATATACATTAAAGTATTAAAACATGAGGACTAATTTTGTCTTGATAGTCCACAGTTTAAATGTAATAAAACTTTTGTAAGAGTTTTATTATAATTTCTTTATTCACTTCTTTTATTTTAAGGTTGACAAAGCTGATCTTATCCAAGGTCCTACACTTGCGGAACTGAATGCAAACGACGAGACCCTTTTGGATGATTTAAGCTTTGACGATATACTCCTCCCAGAGGAGAGTTTGTGTTATATACAAGTACCTAACTCATTATCGAAAATCTATACCAACACACAAGTTCAGCAGAGTTCGACGCCGATCGCGATGTCATTTCCACCGGACGGCGGTACAAGTAAATAAATGATAGATTTCATTTGACAAAGACAAAAAAATCCAAAACTCATAACTGGCTCTTTCCCAGGTGGTTTTTATAGGGATTTTACACCTCTTCTAAACAGGCAGAAGGAGGAGCTTTCTCCAAGGAGCCAACATTCTTCTACATCTTCTTTACTCCAATCTGCAACACCACCTCCTCAGACTGAAGCAGTCAGCCCTATACCACCTAACAAACAGCACCCTAAAACAATTCAAGACCTCTTGAAAAACTCCTTGTCTCCCTCACCACAACCGTAAATATCATTATACCAAAATAATAAAATTATATATAACCATCATTTTTCAATGTGTGATTTCAGAGTTTTAGGACAGTCTGTTCCTGGCAGGTATAACGCTTCACTTTCTGGGGCGAGCAGCGGTGGCAGTTCATCTGGTGGTGCTCCAAAACGGCCACACGTTTCGAGGCTTTCTTCATCTGCTCCGACACACTCTGGGCTTGAAATTTGGCAGAGACGGGAGCCGAGACAACACCTTCTTTCTACCGGCTCTCTAGCAGAAGCGACATCAACATCATCTATTTCGACTGGTATTGCTATTTAGACATATTGACATAAACAGTGTATTTATTAATTTTCTTTCATTTATTCCCTTTAGCTGGAATTCTTAGTCCTGACAGTCACGATTTTTCATTAGATGAGTGTTTCGATTCAGAAGACGACAGTGATCACGAAGACGATTATTCTTCTGATGGTATATATTAAAATTATATTTTATTTAACCCTTTTGATTTATGTACTATAAAATTTCAAATTTTTCTCTCCTCTGTGGACGTTTCTGTTTGAATAAAGTTTTCTGTAAAAAGATGAAATAATAATTTGAATAATCTACTAAGCATCATCATCCACAGTCCTTATTTTGCATTTTTTAAATTACAAATCAATTACAGCTCAGTCTGATAGCGATGGGGAAGGTGGTAGTACTAGTTCAGGGAAAGCGGCTAAAAAAGAAAGGTTCTTTTGGCAGTACAATGTACAGGCAAAAGGCCCCAAGGGTCAGAGGCTAGTTTTGAAAACAAAACAAGAGGATCCTCACCATCTCAATGAGGTCACAGATCCAGTATTCAGCCCTCAATGTTCAGTTCAAGGAATAAAACATAGGTACGATTTATATATTTTACCTTTACGGCAGGCAAAACAAACTGTTTTGTATTTATATTTTTAATTTGATTAGTGGAAAAGCGAGGAAAGGAGATGGGAATGATTTAACACCCAACCCGAGGAAACTTCAGGTCATTGGTAAAGAATTGGACAAGCTGAACAAGATCATCAATGATATGACCCCTGTAAGCGAACTTCCGTTTAGTGCAAGACCTAAAACAAGAAAAGAGAAAAACAAACTCGCTTCAAGGTACTTAACCATTAATGAATGATTATTTAAAGATCATGAGATGCGGTGTGTGTGATAGGTTAGAAAAACAGTTTATCTTGCCAACATTTCAATCTTTATCGAGATCATCTTCAGGGCCTGGGATGTATAAACATTGTTTCATTTATACAAATACGTATAAGATATTAATATGAATTAATACAATGTTGTGCAAAATATAGAACTTTCAGGTTTAATCAAAGTATTTGTACTCACTCAAAGTGGGTGCTTTCTGTATAATTGTGTCACTGTTGTTTCATGTTGAGAGTGCTAGTGATATATTAGATAGGTGAGAAATAAATACAATATCTCCTTTCTCTCATAATTAATTTTTGATTAATATAGATGAGGTATTAATCCTAAATGCGTAACCAGGCCCGAACGACAAACTATTACTTTTTTTTTCTACTGTCAGCCCTTTCACCTCAAAGAAGCTGACTGTTAATAGAAAAATGGATTTTAATCCCTACCTCCTTCCCATTCCTTCACAATCAAACATATATAAACAAAAAATTATAAAATCTCACTAACACTCTCAACACGACACACAATAGTAACACAACTACACAGACAGAAACCACACTTTGAGTGAGTACAAATACTTTGATTAAACATAAAAGTTATGTATTTTTTACAACATTGTACAAATTCATGTTAATATCTTACATGTATTTGGATAATTGAAGCAATGTTTTTAAAACCCAGGCCCTGAGAACGATCTCAATAAAGATTAAAACATTGACAAGATAAAGAAAATGTTTTTCTAACCTACATCACACTAGACTGCACCTCATGGTTTTTAAAAATTAATACTTACTACTTAATACTTCTATTACAATTTTTTTTTCTAAAATGATGTTGACTGATTTTTTAAAAATTTTAGGGCTTGCCGTTTAAAAAAGAAAGCTCAACATGAAGCCAATAAAATCAAACTGTGCGGCCTTGAATGTGAACACAGTAAGTAATTTATAAACTATGTTAAATTCAGTAAAACCTCTGTTATCTGTTGTAATGGCAAGGAGGGTCTATAGAAAATTGAAAACTCCAGATAATGGAATTTATTTCTTTATTTAAATGCATTAATTAAAAGCTAAATTAAGAACACACGTGTACATATATTACTTTTATTAATGTGTGTCTAATAGAAAACTTGTTTGATTATAAATTAAAAAAAAAATAAAAGTAAAATATTTTCAAAAGTTCAAATCAAAAAAAGGTCTTTATAGTAATGTTGACAAAGCGATACTGAACTCTGAACCTGAAGGCCTGTGACAATTCCAAAAATCGGGGTTTTCCAGAAGAGGTGCATCTGGAATGATATCCGTAAATGGAGAAGAGTTTAGTGCATCTAATGTATTCAATGTAAATAATAGACTGGCCATAGTTTCATAGGACAAGACAAAAGACGGTGTCCTTCAAATCAGAAGTGACTTGGTTACACAAAATATATACCTGCATACATTTTAGTATATGTTTACAAAGATCTGGGGCCCGGATAATTGGATTTCACCATAAATGAACCCTGGTTAATGGAAATTTTACAGTAGAAAATAAGTGCTCTCTTAAAATTAACCAGTAGAAACCGGCTAGTCCGTACTTGTACTAGCTAAAAAATTAGTAATGTAGAAGTGTAAGCAAAAAACACCCCTGATTAATTATGAACTGAATATATAGACATGTGATGATGCATCATGTGACATGGATGATAAGCTGGCAAAAGGCATTAGGGTTGTTCGCCAAAATGTTTGGAATTTACCAAACCAACTGTCAGGACACACAACATGTATATGTTAGCGAGTCATTTGTAGTGTATTGAATTGAAATATGAGGCATTGAGTGGATACAAATTGTATTTTAACATGATTAACATAAAACAGACAACTGAATGGTAGATGACATTTATTTCAACTAATAATACAATTCATTGATGATTAACAATACTTTTGTTAAGCTCACTGAATTTGGCAGGAGCAATTGATAAAGACATAAGTTGGCATCCTTGGCTGTTGCTTTGAGATGTGTATGTATGGCACTGAGGATAAACAGTGTACAGACTTCAACTTTTATATTCACCAGGAATTGGTTTCCAACATTACGTTTTCTCAAGACTGAATTGCCACACAGACTGATGGTATCGACGATGATTTTTCTGCAGCTTATGAAGCTTTGTAGGTTTCTGTAGATTGCAGAACCACTGGCTACAAAATTTCACACCAGCAGCAGTGTGAACAAGGTTGCCAGAAGTCTATGACATTGAATGGTGATAATTTCTGGTTTTTCTTAGTTTGAAGCCATTGAGCTGCCCAGTGTTCACACAATCCATCCAAGTTTCGTTAACTGCCATGGATTCAGAATGTTTGCTGCCATTTTATCTCCTGCAGGAGACACCAAAATTTCAGCTGATCTGCTGCATATGAATGGTCTGCAACACATCCATTTGAGTGACATTGATATCCATCGCTCAGTCATCTTCAGCAGATGTATGAACAGCAGCAGTAAGGAGACTCGCATCTTTTGTCATATCCTGAGCAGGGTGCCAGCTTTGCAATGTTCTTTAAAGAATCTTGCTCGCTTGGCATTAAATGTTGGGTTGACTGTGTGCGACTGCTTTCATGCATGATTTATAGTTCCATTTATGCATGATCTGAAGCTGCCTTATTAAAGTTCTATAGGTCACATTTAGAGCTACATGGAATGGAAACGAGCTAAGTGCCAGTCTTGGCCAATCAATGTTGTGCATTCTCACCGTTTTGAGCACATGATGCGAATTAAAGGGCGAATTAAAACTAAATTAATTATAAGTGAGCTGTTGATATAAGCAAAAAAAATAGCACTACACTTACGTTTCTGTTACTGATATTTAGGTAGATGATGTAGATAATTTTATTACAGTGCAACTTTCTGTTCAGGTACCTATATATGTTTCAATGTGATTTTAATGACATTTCACATTTAAAAATAAATCACCTCGCAGACCTCAAGAGAAAATCACACAAAAGTGAAAGTGCAAAAAAATCTGCAGAGTGCCACAATAACTATTAATACCATTTAAACTTAACTGGAAAATACAAAAACCCTTTTTTCAATTTAGTGAGACTACACTGTATTTAATATAAATATAATTGTGATTTTTGTATTTTCTTGTGATTTACCCTTCTCTTTTTATGTTTTCAGAGAGGTTGATGAACGGTATTAGTCAAATGAAAAATTTGTTAATATCGAGAACTTCTGAAAACCCACCTGACTCTGCTGAAGTAAAAGCTGCGACTGAGAAGATAATCAAATCTGCTACAAGTCAGTTTTTATACAATCAAAATAGCGAGAAAGTATATCCTTTTTTATTTGGTGATTGATTTTAATTTGTTTTAGCAGAAGTGAAAATTGCTGGTCAAACAACCGAATTTGTCAACAAAGTGCTTGACAAAGTTAAACAAGGTGTGTCACACGGAGGCCTCGACGATATGGTGTAAGTCTCCCTTAAAGTCGAAGAAATGTTTCTATTTATACCTCGTATTACCATTTTAAATTCTAGTTATTTAAAGACCTTATTTTTTGCCAGTTGATTAGAATAACATTTATCTAATTGATAGTAGTCTTTAGATTTGCACTTAGGTTTTAATTTACTTTTCTTTGTTGCCCAGTCAGAAATATGTGTTAATTATTGCTTATTGTTTTAGATATAATTATTTTTGTGCCAGATTTGTTTATTATATGTATGATAATTTTTTCTCGAGTTATGGCCAAGATTTTGTTGTTTTTTGCCCCACTTTGGCTATTATTAAGTAAGACCAAAATTATCAATATAAATGATGTTTGTATGTGTTTGTTAACTTACTAGTGTTTTGCATGTTAACAAATATATTTAATGTTCATCGACTCACTTAACATAAATAGACACGTCATTAAGTAGATGTGCTTCCGACAATATGTTTGAAGATGTAATCTATTATGCTGTATTTAGTTGTGGTCCGTCGAATCATAATTTCAACGACCAAATAATATTTATTTTTACTAATTTCTCATTGAATTAATTGATATCGGGCTGTGCCCAACCGTCCGGACATTTTATTTCTCCTAAGAAAATTTCCAGAAAACTAATTATTTTCTCAGGACAAGATAAGGATGGTGGTAAGAGGGCCTATATTCTTAATTTTCAGTTTCTCCTGAGTTTAGATGTTTTTTTTTCTGTTTTAACCAAAATACCTTCTTAGATTTTTATTAGTACTTAAATTTTATGCCAACAGTTGGAAAGATTTAAAAACCATAAAATAGTAGTCTACTGTAAATTTTTCCTTTTTTAATAACCTAAATAATTGGTAAACATTTTCTCGCTCAAAAGATACAAGTCGATGTACACTGCCTTAGAAAGAGATGCCGTGCCTTTTAGCATTCCCCTCCCCCTAATAAACAAAATATAATGACATACCTTTTACATTTGGCTTAAAATTGACTCCAGAAATATTTGTCATTACATAGATCGATTTATTTTATTTTGATGTAAAAAAATAATAATTTTTTGTTACCAGTTTAATATCTCTCGATACTTTTGGATATGTATAATAATACAAATTAATGAATTTGTATTACAGAAATTTACAGTGGACAATAGTCTGATTTTTTTTTTTTTTTTTTTTTTCATCAAACAAGTTTCAGTTCCTAGTATTTAGATAAACAGAGTTAAATGTTGCAAACATTGTACAAACAAAGAAGTCAAAGTAATTATTAATATCATAGATTTACAGATTAATTTTTAATGACTAAAAATAAAATAAAAAGTTATATATATATGATAATGAAAAAAAGAAATGCCGTTATGACATGACTTCATTAATTTATTTTAATAAGAAATATTTTTATATACATATATATTATATAATCTATCCTTGAAATTATATATAATTATGTCTGGTTATATCAACATCCTAAAGTTCATAGTTTTCTATTGAGTATGCATTAGCCATATTGAAACAGAGCTTGGCGTAATTACTAAAAAAAATTCATATATTTAATTTTATTAAAATTTGTGCTTTAATCAAGTGCTCAATTAGCAATTAGCTTTGATAGATTAATAATTATTTTTATTATAAATTGTTTTGTCTAAGTAAATTGTAATCCTGTCACCTTATAAAGTTCTAAAGAAAAGAAACAATTCAAGCTTTTGTTTCAATATCAGTTGCAAAATTTTTTTTGTACAACTACCTCAGTACAGTTTTTTCTTTTATTATTTATAAAACAAGTGTTACCAATAAACCAAAACAAAATTTTCAGACTTTTTTTCTACAGCAAGCAAAATTGGATTTTTTTAGTTTAACTTCTTTAAAAAAAAAGTTATATAACACATAAAACTCATTAGCACATATTAAGTCTTCATTCCAAATGAACGGAAAATAATTGATATTGGCTTAAATTTTTTATTTATTATGTTTATTTGAGGTGGGTAACAATTATTATTTTTATAAATAAACGACCTATATGCTTCATTCAAACAAAAATTTTAAAGAAAAAGTGCCTTTCAAGTAAGCCAGAACAAAAGGAAGTATGTGATTTTGTTTGTTTAATCTTGTTTTGTTTTTGTTTTTTTATTAATATTGACATTAATTTTTATCCCCAGGTTTTTTTTTAAATATCGAATATATATATAATTTGTTGACATATCTTTATACAGCACCAAATGTTTACAAATTTATATCGTAGATATATTCAAATATGAGTAAAAGTTGGAATGTTTAATAATAAGTTGTATAATACATTGCAGAGAAATCCCTTCGCTAATAAAACACATATGTTATTTTTACATGCCTTTTGTTTTTTTTTATTTTTATAAAGATTTTACAAAAAAAATATTTAAAAAAAATAGTTAACAATGGAGATGTAGTTGGGAGTATATAATTGCTGTGGCACTACTTTTTTTTAATATTTGTATTCTACTGTAAATGTATAACTGCATAATATATTTCCATATTTTATTTGTTTACATTAAATTACATTATTTATGTAATTTAAAAAAAAAATATATTGAAGAATAAAAACCTCAACCAATGTTATTTTCCCAAAACTTTCCATTTGTTTATATACTTATGTAATACCCTGTAATGTTCTATTTATATGTATAATATATTTCAAATGTAAACATTTCGTATATAGTTGTGATATTTATGTGATTATAAAGTTAACTATTCAAACAATGTTATATATACATTTTAATGTTATAGTTTTTAAGGTTATTTTAAAAGAAAAGAAGGATTATTAGTGAGGAAGAAGACGTGATTTCTAACTTGTGGTAAAATTGTTGAGCAAAGACATGTCTCTAATTTACAACTTGATATTACACAAAATAAAATTAAGATTTATCTCGTTTCACTTTGTGAAAATAATTACTTATTAGTAGAGATTTATTTTTTAAAAACATTCATTAAAATATATTCAAAAACAAAACAATAATAGTTCTACCTTTATATGACAAATTATTTTATTTTTGTAAATTGATTTGATGCTTTAAATATTCCAACTTTCAAATTTAATGTTTGCTCTCAAACACGTGTACTGAGTTTTGTAATTATTGATACGTCAATATGGCAAGCTGGTTGTAAATTTGACTGTGTTGTTATAATTAGTTAAGAGAGAGTGATTTTTTTTGGAAAGGCAGTGGTTTTTTTTTTTTTATATAGCTTTGTACATATTATTTTTATGGTTTATTGAAAAAAGAGAGGAGGGATAATCCATTTTTAATATATAAGGATCATTTTGACAGTTAAGTTTGTTCAATTTTATTTTTTATGTCATTTTCATAATGATTGCGATGTAAAAAGTCCAAAAACTAAAGTCTAGATCTTTTTTACAGTATGGGGAAAAGAGCTATCAGTATGTGTTCAGCTTGTGATATTAATTTATAGGGTGGTAAAGACGAAAGTGAAGAAAAAAATTTAAAAAAGGAAAAAAAGAAGAAAATCGTTAATTTCATCATGTTGTTCCATTTGGACTTTAAACAAACTGTACATAAGATCATTATTTTGAATAATTACCCATTCTATTTACCACGATTTAAGTCTACAATATTGCATATCAAAATTTATGTTATATTATTAAGCAAAAAACAATATTGGAAAGCTTCTTTAACAATTTATGAAGGAAGTCTTTTATTTGAAGAGTCTGTGAATGCTTGTGATGGCCTTGTCTTTAAAAACTGTTTTTTTCTTTTCTTTTTTTAATTATTATACTTGTAAAAGAAAATTATTGTTTGTTAACATGTAATAAACATTTGTGTCAAATATATTTCTTTACAAACCAGTCCTGCATTAATTTACATAACATCCCATTGTTTAAAAAACAACCTTTTTATCCATGATGAACTTATTGACATTGTTCAGTTTACCTTTTCTTGCTGGTCTATATTTCGCTCATATGGGTTTTGGCTTCACATCAGCTTCAGCACAAACATAAACCCGGTGAGAATAAAGACCCAGTTTAGTGATCAGTGTGGATCTACCTTGGAAAAGTTTACTGCTATTCTTAAAGCTTTATGTTGGACAAATTTAAGCTTATAATTAGCACATACAGTATGCTCAGGAGGGCCTAATAAATGATTCATAAATGAGGTTTTGTTTTTTTGTATTTGTGGTCTGGGGAAATAGCATCTTTTTTCGACAATGGGGAAACGCTTGTTCATCGCTGTTGAGTGGCTAAAAATTTTCTTGACACGGAAGTCCAAATTGCTAGCTTTGAAAATTTCTTTGCAAGATTGTTTCATATTTTGTTAAATTGCAAAAGATGGATTCTTTAAGAGAGGTCTACTTAATACCTTTCTAATGTAAACACAAGTAAATAATTACTGTGGAACTTGTTACAATTAAAATTAAAATGAGGCCAACAACATTCTAACTAATTCACCTTAAACTAAGGCCATCCAGGTGAAGGCAGCTGGAACCATAAGGGAAATAATATAGGACACTCGAAAATTTTACATTTATTGAGTAAGGTCAACAACCAACTACTGGGTGTAAGCGATAAAAAGGTGAAAACACCTTTAGGGAAAAAATACTTTCAGGTAGTCACTCCCTGTGACTATAACTATAGGTCTGATGATGACCATCGTAGTCTAGATTGCTACACCGATGGCTCACTCATTAAGGATAAGGGAAGTGGTGCTGGAATACACATACCTAAATTAGGGATCAGCATCTCCTATCCTCTTGGTAATAACACCTCGGTCTTTCAGGCAGAGGTCTGGGCCATTAATGTCTGCTGTAGAAC